ATAGATATTATCATAAAAACCATAAAACTATTTCATTTCAAGGATACGTCTAAAATTACAATGAATATTGTATTTTTAACCATTTTCAATCAAAATTTCACTTTTTGATTAGTTGTACATACACTGCCAACAGCTACAGAATGTCTTTAAAATGCAATATTTTTTGAATCAAGCATATTAATAAATCTTAAAATCTTATATTAGCACAATGTCCTAATAAGTTAATTTATAAAAAAAAGTAATACTTGTATCATATATTTTTAATAAAACTGAGTATATCTTTTTTTGGAGATAGGTTTTTTTGGGGTATGGATTCAACGACTTGTTGTGTAATTTTGTTTTTGATTTTGATTGAGCTTGGATGAAGAAAAACATTTAGTTATTTATAATGTACAAGAAAGTAAATAAACTCAGGTCAAAGTATAGTATTTAAATTATAGTATTGTCTTATATAAAACCGCAAAATATTTTTCTTTTGTTTACTGGAGTTTTGGCTTAAATAAGAAACATAGCTAAGCTGGTTACACATGAATTTGGATTTAGCAAAATTTGGAATAAAAATTATTTTTAAAATACTGATTTTAAAAGAATATTACTTTAAATATTTTTTTTGTATTTGGACACACATGTAGATGATTATTCAAGTATTTAGAAGTCTCACTTTTGCATAGCATAACAATTAAAATATTACAAAAAATTGACACATGTTTTAAAAAACGGATTGTGAACTATTAGCACAAGAGTATTATTACCGTCTCTAAGTTAATTAATATTTTCACGTTTAAAAATATATATGTATTTGAATAAATAACATACTAAAAATTCATTACATATTCACAAAGCAATCAAATTTAGCAATCTCATTTTTTTATTAGTGTCAAAAATGTATTACAATGTGCAAAGTGAAAAATTTCACAATACTTGATTTATTTTAGCAAGTATGAACGTAAAATCCATATTGGTCGAATGTATATAATGTCGGCAATATTTCAAGTCGATGAAAGCTTGTGATGGATGATGAATACTTGAAACTCTGTTCATTGGCTCTCAAGGGTGTTGGAAAGGAGGAGGACGCGGTGGTTGCGGGTTCACAGCCGGCTGGGAGCATGCCAACCTGGAGTCGGAGTGCCACCACGGACTGCCACTATGGCGGGCACCAAACCCACTCAAAATCCTAATCACAGCAGAGCTGGATTCGTCAAGACAGCTGGAAGGGTTCCCCACCCCCACCTGGGTCCAGCGTGGACTCTGCCCAGCCTCTCATGTGTTCCGATGACTCTGCCTCGCTGGCATCCTAGTCAGCTCTTCCCTCCGCTCCTTTGCTTACGAATTTCGATCATGAACTTACTTTAACAATTCTGAAATATGTTGGTATCACTTTGCAAAGCTAAACTCACAACACATGCAAAAATAATTAAACATGTACACACACACACACACACACACAAACCTTGTGTCTTTTTATATTAAGAAACTATTCTTTATGCAGTAAATACTTCCTTATTTACATTGCTTCTGTAAATATTGTAGCTAAATGTGGAATTTCACATTTTTTATAACCATACATACTTATTTATTTTTTGTTATTGTTCCATTTTTTATTCAGTACACATTATTTTTATTTTCATCTTCTCCTTTTTTTTTTTTTTTTTTTTCTTTTATACTTCCAAGTATTTTGTGATGATTCATCACTTGCATTAATCAATTATTTAGGATTCTTTGGAAAAAAATCATGCATCAAATTATGTTATTTTTTAAAACATGAATATGTGAATTTTCATGATATATATTAAAAATAAATATTAAAACAGCTTGTGTTGTTAAAGAAATATGCCTTCTATTCATGGTAAGTTTCAATACCACAGTTCAAGACCACCTAACAATGTTGCAACAAAATTGTCCTTGAAATCTTCGTTTCATTAGAAAAAATATGAATTTCTATTTTTTGAGTAAAATTTTGAACATAGTGTTTGACTGTTTTTTTCTTATTGTTGATTCGATTTTAGACTTGTAAAGTTAGTTTTGACACTTCCACCTTTAATTAGGTAGTGCTACTTTTATTGTTTTGAAGTTATATATATATATATATATATACATATACATATACCTTAAGTGATGTTATCAACTCTTATAGCAAATAGTTTTGAATACACAAGTGATCTATTATTCATGTATATATATACACAAAAATCTTATCAATTTTTTCATCAAATTTAAAGTACTAATTTAATCTATTTTTAAATTTTACTTAAAGATTAGTTTTCATTTAAAACTCAGAATTGAAGAAAAAGAATTAAAATTATACAATTACTTACTTTTAAAAATATCAAAGTCATTTTTTTTTATGGAAAATCATCAACTTATTTTGTAATGATCTGACTGTAATGCAAAAAGTATGCTACTTACAATTCCGAATTACAAAATTAACACAAGGAAAATATAGAAAAAGTATAATTAAAAACAATCATGCAAATACATTCAAGCTCGTTGTTTAGTTGTCAAAGATTCTAGCAGACTAACCCATTGAAGTCAGCTTGGGCAATGAGTTTTTTCACCCAAAGTTTATGTTCTAAGTACATGCACTATTTAATCCAAATATTCACAAAAGCTGTCCATCCACCAAAGTTCAGTGGTCATTTCAACAACTTTCTATTTCCATTTCTTCTGATTGGACTATCCAACTATACATATATATATATATATATATATATGTATACACCACAGAGTCATGTCAGTTTTAAATTTAACTGCAAAAACTGTCACTTAAAGCAAAAAAAACAAAAACAAAAAGAGAAGATAAAAAAAAGATTATCTCCCATTCCACCCAAGGCTTCATTGAAAGCCTTGATCTAGCCTTGAAATTCTGGATCTTAATGACATCACAGGTTGAGGCACACTCTTCTCTCCTCCTCCCTTCCCCCTCATAGAAATGGGAGCTTTCACAAAGGAACAGGATGTGAGTGTGTGTGTGTAAGTGTGTGCCCTTGTGGGGCCATGCAAAAGCAGTGCACCTGACCCTACATCCACCAATGATAATAAAAACCGACACAAATAATAACAATAATAATAATAAGTCTCTCACAAAGAGCACAGATTCATCCTCTAACCTCCAGTCTGTTGCTTGCTTTGTTTCCTTCCTTGCCATTGCAGCTGCCACTGCATTGGGAAGGGGGGACACCAAGTGTAGCCTACCCAACTGCTAACATTCTTGTAGGCTTGGTGGGGAGCCGCATCCCATTCAAGTGAGATGGAGAGGTTGCAAAAAGGGAGCTGGGAGTGGGGGGGAATTCAAAATTCTGGTAAGCAAGTGGGGCTGGATGAGATTGGGAGTCATGTTGATGTTCACCATAATCAATGCGCAGTGTGCTTTTGTGAGTGTGTGTATGTGGCAGGGCCCTGTTATTGATTAGGATTTGGGTTGTCATGAACAGCCAAGAAGGGTGGTAACACACTTTGGTTGAAAGAGAAAAGGTCATTGAAGTTGTGCATTAAAGGCACCCAAACTAAAGGTTAGGGATTGGATTGATCTTCTGCATGTGAATAAATTTGAATGTTGATGCCCCTTCTATTTATAACGTTATAAAATTGATGTGTTTCAAAATAAGAAGAAAAAGCATTCAAATAGTTGTTTAGCACTATGAATGAAGAGAACTCCAGATCAAAATAACTTATCAAGTATTTTCATACCCCCCGCATTAATATACATTACAGTTGATTTCCAGTTTTTAAAAACCTGTGTTTTATATTAAATACTGATCTTCATTGAAATATGAGTATTTTAATTTGAGAATCAATACAACATAAATTACTACTTTTTATATATTGCATAGGGTGTACATTTATCTCACATGGTTAGCAACCATCTTAGATGACTAGTAAGTTCTACAAACATGGAAATAGTAATTAATAATATGAGTCACCTCAATTTGTTTCAAATAATAGTGTCTCCTTATTGATTCTTTGCTAAAAAAGTTGTTGCACGTTTAGAGATGGTTATTTAGTTATTTAGTTTTTAAATTTCAAATCTATACACATATTAAGTTACTTATAGAATTTCTATTCTGAAAATCATAAATCAAGTATGACAACTTTAATAACATGATTCTGTTTCCCATTTTTTTATCTCAAGAAAAGAAAAAAATTGCATGACACATAGTTCTTTATGCAAACTCACACATGCTCAACCTTCTTCAATTGCATCCAATTAATCCTTACACATATTTTTCAATCAATTCAAATGCCTCACCTTGTTACATTCTTAAAATCCATATAAATACATAATACATGTTACCTTGCATTTGTGTCCTTGATAACACATCTTGACCAACAAGGTTATTGTCAAATTTGAGCTTGTTGATAAGCTTTGGTGGTTAATTAATTATGCGTTTATCTTCATACAACCAGCTCCATAGGTCCTCATCTTGCATGGTTCTCAAATTCCAAGTATACAGCCTCGACCCTTTACTTTAAATTCTCAACTTAGACACACCTTCAATTTCCTGTTTAACTCCCAATCTACTTTCACTGCTTCATTACTGCCACTGATCCAAATTAGGGAACCACAAACAGAGAATTATTAGAGTGTGCGAAAAGTCATCCATCCATCACAAACAGCATCTGACAAATCATACTGAAACTGGGATGGCGCATGAAGAAATTTCATCCACATTATTAACCACAATGCAACAAATACACTTTTTATTCATTTATTTTTCTCCATCTGGTAAGAAAAAAGAGTTCCAATTAAACAAGTCAAGATAAAGTCTGAGAGACCTGCAGTCTCAGATTCAACTTCAAATCCATTGAACAGAACATCGGCGTGAAAGTGAACATGGAACTCCAGCTGCGCTTAAACTCTGCTGAAGCTCCAGAAGACAACAAGTTGGAAAAGACGGCAGAAAGAAGAAGAAGACAAAGTGAGAAGAAAGAGGCTGCGGAAGGGAAAGAAAGGGAGTGAGGGCATCCAGGCAGCTGAGGGAAGAAAAAGAATCCAGTCCTGTCATGTCTCGCTCTTTTGCTCATTCGCCACCCTTGGCTTGGCTGTTGCGGACGCTAGCTCCTCCTCCTCCTACACCATCTCTTCCTCTTGCTCTTCTTCCTCTGCGCTCAGATCTAGCCTTCACTTATAGCTACAGTCTCCTCTGCAATACTGCTTCGTCACTTCCTTTGCCTCCGAGAGCGTTGCTGCGCTGCTGTTCCTTTTCTATTGCTGCTCTCACAGGACGTGTGGTTCATCGTTGCGGAGTTGGGGAATGTGATATGAAGGTATCTGCGGCTCCGACGCGTTGTTTTGGACTAATTTGTTCTGTTTTCATGCTCTTGCGCTCGGATCCGGGGTGTGTAATGAAGTTCCTGTTGCGGTTTGCGACACTATCGTGCCTGTGTATAGTTCAGTACTGCCGGATTGGAGTGGCGTGTCCATCAGCTTCGGCCCTTTGTTGACGCGGCGTTTTCGGTCATTAGATTGAGAAGAAGGTTTGGCGCCGTGTTACAAGGTAGTGTTTTTTTTTGTTTTTTGTTTTTTTTTTTTTTTTTTGAGGAACGGCAGGTGGTGTGAGCCATTGGACGATTTCTTGGACAAGTCCGGTGTAGCGCGCTTGAGGCAGTGTTTGAGCCAGTGTGGACTGTTTGAGTGGAATTTAGTGTTCTGGATTGCAGTGACGAGGTTCTGTTTTAGACTCCGGTGTAGTGGAAGTAGTTTGTATGCGTTCTCCGGTATGGTTGTTCCACTGGTTGTGCGCTTGATGGACGCGAGGGAGGAACCTGTAGTAAGAAACATGGAAAGCGAAAAGTGAGATTGCTGGTGGTGTTTTGCAGGAATTTTCCAGTGATTTTAGATTTCTGGATCGCTGTAACAAGGGAGTATGATATGGGATTCCTAATTTCTCTCGGTGGATGCGTGTTCAAAATTTAACATGCTTTGCGCGTCGGGGGTTTATTTTCAGTAGTAGCAAGACATTTTGTTTGTAGATTCTGCAGATTGCCTTCGTGGCCTCTAGAAGGCGAACTCTAGCTGTTTTTCCTGTGAGCTTTACACACTCCGTGTTCGCTGCGTAAAAAGATCTTAGCTATGCGACTTTTGTGTACTGGTGCAGGTTTATCCTAGAAATTTGGTATGGAATTTTTAACAAAGGGATCTTAATTTTGATTGTGTGATGGTGAAGCATTTCACCTATTGGTTTCATAAAATTCCTCTTATGTCCTTGGTTGTAGGTAGAGAGACGGCTGGCATTAGTAACGTGAATTGAAGTTGAAGCACCAGGGACCTTCCCGAGAATTTCAGTTTGCCTCTTGAAGAAGTGTGGGATAGGTTGGCGAACTTCAGTTAGTCACCTTGTGGAGCTGGGAGGTCTGCTTTAAACTGGAAAGCCGAAGGAGAAGTACGTTAGTCTTAAAGATGTTGCCATGTACCAAGAATTCCGAGTTGGTACTGGAAATTATGATCACAAAATAGTCAATTTCAGGCAACTATTAAGAGCTATTCCAGCAGCGACTTGGGAATTTGACATTCTTTTGAGTTCCTGAGCGTGGTGTCAGTAATTTGGTTCCAGGTACTTAACATTTGATCTAATGTCCTATTCAATGCAATTCCGAATTGTCAAGTTTAGCGGCCTGAAATTGTGAAAGAGACTTGCGTACTCTCTCTAATTGGTTAGTTCTTGTAAGTCTTTCTCTCTGAAGAATGCATGGCACACATTAGTAGGTCTTTTTTTAATTTACTGCGGTAGGATAGTCTCCGATGGAGCGCATACGCGGTTAGTCTTGTTTTTTTTCCATCGCACAATCAAATTAAGGTGTCTCGTTGACCGTTCAGCGACATATTGAAATTTTGTTGAAGCTAGCCCGCGCAGGCTGTGTAGTTTCTCATTTCATGCGTTTCTGTCGTTTTCCTGTGTCATGCAGGTGTGGTTTTCACAGGTTCAAATTGGGATTCTAGCATCTCATCCAATGCAGGGCACGCAATCAGAGGTAGGCAGTAGGTTTTTGGACTCAGATTAAGCTCTCTTTTTCTTTTAGACGTGTTGATGATCTCTGCCTTGCCTTGAGTTCTTTGTCCTTTGCCTTCTTGAAGGACTCGAGAGTTGACGAGTTAAAGGCGACTGCGAGGTTAGTGACCATGCAAGAAGGACATGTGTTAGCTGAGCGCTCAATGTCCTACTGAAGTCTGATGCCACAAATTTTGATAATGAATTCTATGTTATGAATTACCCTGTTGTTCATCGGATTCTGAACTGTGAACCAAGTGTTCGGTGCATGATTAATTGTGAGGGCAGGTTTGTCAATACACACGAATCGTTTCCTTTTCCTCACATTTTTCTTGTAGATCTAACTGAAAAATGCGGGTTGATGTAGTGTTTCTGTATCACACTTAACACGTTTTTGTTCTTTACAGTTCTGGCCTCGGCAACTGTTGAAGAAGTGGATCAGCTTTCAAGAGACCGGAGATGACTTCAACAGAGACAGTGACTCGAATTCCGAGAGGTTCAGTGAGTCAGAAGACTTTGAAGAAAGCGATGGTAAGCTTACTTCTGTTTAATGTATTCTCTCTTGCTTGCTGGTTTTGTGAATGGAGAGAGAGTTGAGATGCATCCAAGACCTCTATTCACTTTGTACTATGTCGTTATCTGTTTATGTGTCTAATAAGGTGGGTTTAAACATTAACCTTGTGGGCTTTAGAGAAAGTTTTATGGCAGTTGGGTATATCCATGTGGCTGGAGAATTAGGTGTATTCTGGTTTAAGAACTTAGTAATAAGGTTGTTAGGACGGAGTATTTGTAGATTGATGATTGAGTTATAAATTGCTATATCCTCATGATTCTAAAAACCTTTTGAAAGATAAATTCGAGTCTGTGGTGTCGTTGGAAGTTGGTATGGCGTGGTTCCATTTGCATTCACTACTTGTGAAGTGGATTTTTTCTTTGCTTACAGATATCAACTACAGCAACCCGATTCCGCGAGTGCAATCTGATACTCTCCATGAGCGCTTTGTTCAAAATAATGATTACAAGTGAGCTTTTTTTCTCTTTTCGAACCAGGCTATTTCGACAGCGTAGTCGTGAATTTTTTTACGGGTGATCTAATTGAGTGGTTTTGCTAGGATTGAACAGGTTATTGATGTGGGATAGGACATCATGACCTTGAGAAGCCACTTGTGAATTTACTACAGTTCGTTTCCCCCTTGACTAGTGTTTGTATTCATGGAATGGAGCAGAGTTGCAGTTGGAACCTGGAACGTCGGAGGGTTACTTCCTCCAGATGATATCGACCTAGATGGGTTCTTAGATTCGTCTGATCCTGCGGATATCTATGTACTAGGGTGAGTACTCAGTGTACCTTGCATGAGGTAAAGGAGTAGCTACTTTGTTTATTCATGTGTGGGGAAAATCTTTAAGTCAGATATTGATCCAAAGATACTTATTTGGGGATCATATTAACTAATTATGTTATCATTGTTATCGTGAAATAGACAGTACGGTGCTCACTAACGATTGGGATGGAGGAAATTCTCAGGTTTCAAGAGATTGTACCACTTAATGCCAGCAATGTGTTGTGCATTGAAGACGATGCGCCTACTGTCATATGGGATGGCTTAATTCGTCAGGCTTTGAACAATCGAGTGAAATGCTTTGAGGAGCACGTGACTAGTCACAGTGCGCCCACATCTCCAACATGGGATGAACAAGAATTTGTTAGTCCATCTTCCGAAGTTTCCGACTTTGAAAGCTTGAGGACCACTGTCGCCACAGAAGGAACTTTAGAATCATCCTTGCTTCTTCCGAAAATTTCCAACCCTAGCGATAGTCAATGGCCATCAGACAGAATAGAAGCAAGGAAATTTGTTCATAAAGTTCATGCTCCAATCAAGGATGTGAGGGTAGCAGAGGATTGGGTATATGAGGCAAGCATGCCCGATAATGGTGTAACTAGAAGAATGTCATCGATGAAATCCTCACGAAACTTGAGAACACATTCTTGTAACAAATACCTTCGAGTTGCAAGCAAGCAGATGGTTGGAGTGTTCATATCTATTTGGGTGCGGTCAGACCTGCGGCGATATGTACACAACGTCAAAGTTAGTGTTGTTGGATGTGGAATTCTAAATTATCTCCGAAATAAGGTACATCTTGGCACTCTTTTCAGTGTTTGGTTTTCTATATTGTTCAATCAAGTCATGTCATGCACTTCATGAGCGTCTCATAACTACTGACAAGCATCTTTATGAAATTATTACCTTGAAAATAGATGCCCTGCAGGATTCTGATGGCTAGAGGTTCCATGCAGGGTGCTGTTTCGGTCAGCATGTCTCTTCACCAAACCAGTTTCTGTTTTGTGTGTACGCATCTTACATCTGGTCTGAAGGAAGGCGATGAGTTTCGTCGAAATGCTGATGTTGCTGATGTTCTTCGTCGCACCACGTTTCCTAGATTAGACAAACTTTCAGGGATACATTTACCAGAAACAATCATGGCACATGAGTAAGAATCATTTCACCATATCGTAGGTTTTCCTCGACATTTCGAGTGGTTGATGTCAATGAATTAAATAATTTAATTGGACTATTCGATTGCAGATTGGTGCTGAGCTTTCTTGTGTTTTAATGCTTAGTCTAACATGTATGGTGAATTGAGTAGTCATGCTATTTATGTATGCATTCCTGCAGTTTTATCGGATCTGATTCTTGAACTTGGTGGTTGTCCTCGAAATGATTTGTGCAGTCGAATCATATGGCTCGGTGATCTGAACTATCGTATTGACTTACCCGACAAGGAGACATGGATTCTAGTCAATCAATGTGATTGGAAGAGTCTTCTTCCTAGAGATCAGGTATTGGTCACGAAAATGTGAGGCCATTTTTTTTAGTTCGAGAAACAGGGTGGTTACTTTCATTAGCTATTGAAATCATACAGTTTGTGTGACCATGCGGGGTTAATGGTAAGTGCTGTCGGGAGCTTGTTGAATGTCGCACTTGTAGCTTCCTCTGATTGATACTTATTTCCAAATCTGTTGTTTACAGCTGAGCATAGAAAGAGATGCTGGGCGGGTTTTCAAGGGTTGGCACGAGGAAGTTATCAATTTTCCACCTACTTATAAGTTTGTTGAGGAATCTGATAAATATTTTGGTGAAAATACTTTCGAAGGTGATAAGCGACGTACGCCTGCATGGTAACGACAGCCTCTACTTCCTTGAAGTAATGCTAATTTTTTTCCTGAGTAACACAGTCATACTTGGTATCAGAGGCTGTCGATTATCAAGGCTGTTATCATCGTTTTGTATTTGCTTGCTGAACAATTTTTGCGTTATCCTCTGTTATTTTGATTTACCGGCAGTTATTCTTGTTAATAATTGCCCATGTTGCCATTAAAGTGTTACATACTTGATATCCAACTTCATGGATCTGCTCGAATGGTTTGAAGCTGCAGATTTTGTTCTTCCTTAGCTTTGGCAGTTGTAAGTTGGCGATGTTATGAAATCGTCACCTATGTGCTTACTGACTAAGGGATTTTGTGTGCCTCCAGGTGTGATCGAATATTGTCGTATGGAAAAGGACTGAGGCAGTTAAGTTACTCAATGGTGGAAGCGAGGCTTTCAGACCATCGACCTGTTATTGCGAAATTCTTTGTTGAGGTGGAAGCAGTTAACTGTCAAAAACTTACGAAAGCTTGCAAGCTATCGAAGCATGCAAAAGTGAATGTTGAGGAGCTTCTACTGAAGGACTTTTCTGTCAACAATATTCGCAGCTTATTCAATAATGAGATGTTATGATCAGGTTATTTCCACTTCCTCTGTTGAAACATCAGTAAGATTATCAACTTTTAAAGTAAGTGCCTGGTCTTTCAGAATGTCTTCGTCTACCACTTCTGGGGAGGACCCTACAATCAATTAAATGCGTGCCTCAAGTGAGTCCATTCGTCTTTGGGGCTTACAGATAGTTGTGTGCAGAATAGATACTGGATTGCAAATGATTACCGATGTCACCTTGGGAGTATCCAAGGCTCGTGGGCCAGAAGTGTCTCGATAGCTGAGTTCATAACGACCAATTTGTTGGTGAGCCTCCCATCAACTACTTTTGGCATTGCTAATTGGCATCAATAGTCCCTCGTCATGGCACTCAAAGATTCACATGTACGATGTGAAAGAATCAAAAAGTACCGGACGTAGTCATTGTGTAGTTAGAGAGATTTGCCATCATTAACAACTCAACCACTGTGTGATTCTAATTGCACCTGTTGATAACGATACCTTAAACTAGAAGCTGGAAGTGTGTTCCTGATTTTCGATATGTGTTTAGCATGTTGAACGTTCCATCGAAAGCTGCTGCAAAACATGGCGGATTTTCACGGACGATTACTAGTGGATCTCCAAGCTGCTCATTACTTAACCTCAAGCTTGATTATTTATTGAAGTCAGATTGCCAGATCGTAACGGGTCTAGAAGAATTTGGCTGGACTATAAAGCAGGTAACTGGTGGATTCTAAATGATAGCCAATCATTAATTAAGGTATTGACAACTCTATTGATAAATGCCAGCGCTTGGCAAGGATGTGTTCTGTATATTCTGATGTTTTTATGTACGTTTATCCTAGTAGTTTTCTCTTAAATATTTAATTGATACGAGGTAGTTTTAATGTAGGGTCCTGTGTGAGGAGCTCAAGGCTGTTTAGTGAACTCCTCCTACCCGACAGGTTATGTCAGATTTCTGTATAGTTCATTATATATTAATTGGGATCCGTAGGAGTTATTGAACCTAATCGAGCTCATTGTAGTCCAGGAGAGCCAGGATCGCTGAAGATTAGTTTACCCGCTAGAGAAGCGCCCTAAAACAAATGTGTTCAGGTCTGCTGAAGACTTCTGAGATTATGCGAAAGCGAGTTTAGCTTTATTTAGTGTAACTTGCATCCTACCTGGAGTCATTAATGAACAATTTTTTTTTGGTATCCAAGCACATCATATCGATTGTTACTATGTATACCCTTCCTCATACCACACTGTATGTCCATAGCTGTGCGCATGCAATTAAAGCAGTGCACCAATTTCATCACAAAATTGTACCTGCAGTTTATAACTCCATCTTGATTCTCTTAGATTACTGAGCTGTATGATTCAAGGATACAAAAACGTGCTTATTTCTCCTTTGGCCCCTTTCTTGCAACTATCAATTAATATGATGCAGCCACACGTGGTCAAAATTCGATCAAAGATCGACTCAACCAGGTTGATTTGATCATAATTAAATGAGGGTGACGATGGGGCATATCCTCGACACCCAGAAATGGGCAATTTTTTTCCCTCTTGTGAGTTTGGTGGCTATAGTGGCTAGCGTTGCCATTTGAAGAACAGTACTTACAAACTCTCTTGATCTGATCAACTTCTCACGTTAAGTCGCTTTTTTTTCTTCAGTTTGATCCAATTCTCAAACGCAAGCCTTAATGCATAAGCCTTGTATCTCAGAAGTGAGCTTGTTTGCATACCTCACTGTCGAATAGTCGAAGTACTGACCACTAGCGCAAGTTACGCGCAAACCTGATCCAACCGAGGAAAGATTGCAGCCAAGGTGGCGATCTCCAGAGCACTTCCAGAACTTGCTGGGAGCGCACGTGAGGTATTGGCACCAGGAGCAACCATTACTGATTTCCATTCCTGCACAAAAATCCGTCCCTGAAGTCTGTAAGTTCCATTGCTTTGCACTTGTGAATGACGGACTTTAATCGACTTTTAGCAGGTTTTTCAATGAGATGTTCCTTCCTAACTTTATGTAAGGTATGGCTGAGTGCACACCTGAGAACAATGCAAACAAGCCCATGGTAGAGGCTGCAATTAAGGCGCCGATCGAGAGCAGCCACACGATATCAAGTATAATTATGTTTTTTCGTTTTGCGAGCATGTCATTCCGATCGTAAACCATGGAGGATTTCCAACATCGGAAGTTTTGCTTGATGAAGAAGAGGTTTCCGATCAGGAAACCCATTACAGCTCCGCCTATGTGCATGAAGTTATCAGCGAGGGGCATGAGTCCAAAGACCGCATTTAACGCAGTGAAGAACATGACTCCCATTAAGGCCCTCGACCGGTGTCGGTAGGATTTCCAGTTGACGATGATGGACGACAGCGTCGCGCCGAGCAAGCCCATGAAAGCACCCGATGCCCCAACCGATACACGCCCGTGAACCATTAACGCTGAGATTACGCTCCCCAGGAATCCACTTAGAATGTATACGACTCCAACCTTCAAGATACAGTTTCCATGCGAATCGTTAGCAACATCAATGGTAGAAGCTTAGCAATCAGTTGATGAAGTGAGATTTGAGTATTGGCAGGACCTCAAACGATTTAGATTCAAACGTTCATTCTCGACTGGAGAAAGGAATGGAGCAAAGTGCGGAGCAGAATGGGCTACCTTCACAAATCCCAGTTGGCGCTCAAGCGGTATTCCAAGGAGAAGCATCCCTGAAGCAGTTCCTGCGATATGCAACACCCCAGCGTGCAGCCACATTGCTGAGAGCAGGCGCCAGCCCTCGCGTGATTTCGTTATCAAGTCCGACTCTAAAGCTCCCAGCGACAGCAGCGTCTTTGCCGAGGGCCCCAGGAGAGGGTTTTCGTCGAAGGGTTGCATTGCGAACTTATGAAAGGATGGATTCAAACACGCCGTTTGTGTGTGAGAGGGGCAATCGTTCTGGTGCATTGTTACGATCAAAATAACCGTGTGAGCTATGGTGAATGCCATAGAGATCCATGGGACATGCATCTGGTCTTGCACCTCCCCTGACGACACCCCTGAATTCTGTTGCGTCGCCGAACTCCAACTGTCTACTGGAAAGGCAAAGCATACAAGCAACTCAGCTACCACAACGATGTCATTTTCACTGGATCAGTGACATCGAATAGGAAACTAAACAATTCGAGAATTTCCTTACCTCGAGTTTGCTGTTGTTTGTGCAAAGGGTTGTCATACGCTCCTCCAGCCATGTACATCGGCGGCCCAACTGCTGGCCTAAGTGAAGTGCTTCCGTAGTGATTATCACGATTATTTGTGGAAGAGATGTGATTTGAAGAATATTGATGCTGCATCCCCATCTGGTCATGAGAGTTTTCGCCGTAGTGAGCATTCATTATGCACGGCACATCCATGTGTCCCCTATCAATCGGCGCTGTAACAGTCCATTGACCACATGCATCGGTGAAACTGGGCTCTCTCCTATTCTCTTGATATGACTTGTAGTCAAATAGCGGCGGCACATTCTCTGTGGAGAGAGTGGATTGCTGCCATCGACAATGATAACTCTGATACGAAGGCGCGGATGGTTGGGGATGCAGTGCCATGGTTAGGGTTTCTTTGTGAAATTGCACTCTGCCAAAGACCACTGAATTATTCTGTTTTCTTACGTGGAAAACATCTCACATTGTTGTAACCGCAGTTTCTCGTCAATTACACCAAGGGTAGGAATGGCGCTGATCAATGTGAGATTCTGTTGAAATCAATCATATTTACATGACATTGTGAATCTCAGTGGGCACTTGTTCTGAGTTGAATCCAGACACTGTGTTTGAAAAGACAGAGTTATAGGTCGTTCCTCTTCATTCTCGCTATGAAAAGATTATCCGAGTTCGAACAGTCTAGGGCACATAATCGGCGAACAATGCTGGAGGTCAATTTATTTCTGGGTGCTTTGAGCTTCCGATCTGGAGGGCGAGGGAGACTAAATTGAGACGCTGTAAGGATGCCGGATCACATGGTTAAGTATTCCATGAAAAACTTCCAGCGCGCTGTTAGGGCGTGTTTACACTGGAAAACCTGGGCCACAGGTTATGGGGGTTCGAGAGCTCCCCACTTTGAGGACGAGACCCAAAACCCATTCTGAGCAGGTAGCTATTCGAGATCACGTAAAAAAGGACCTCAGTGGCACAATTTGCATTACTCATGTATGTACTGATAGTCTTCCAGTACTAGTGCACTCACCAGAAACAAGGTCTGAACTGTTACAGTAAGAGAGAATGTTGTTCGTTGCTTCATTTAATATGCACTCACAGTGTGGTTTTGAGTCCAATTCTATACACCAACTTGAGAAATTAAGTAGCAGTTACAAGTATCTTGAAATTCGTGGAAGCGCCTGCATTGTTGGATTGTGGACTACAACGGAGGAGTAGCCCACAATCCATCGAAGCAGGCGCTTCAACGACTTTCAGATTTTCGAAGATTTTTCTACCTTATCATTTTCCACTTCTGATTTCAACACAACCGACGCTTCCTCACCAGCTCCTAGGCCTCATTCAGGGTCAGGTCGATGGTTGTGCAAACCTCTTTGTTCATCTCGATGTTGGAGCTAGAGTCGAATCACTCTAGCTTCAAGTCGAAGGAGGTTTTTCTCCACCTTCGCCACTTCGGTAACTAGTGCACCGGCTGCACCACTTACCATAAGCATTCTGAGCATGGGATCATGCTCATCCCCCTCGGCAGCAGCCCTAGTTGCCGCCGAACTAAAGATGCGAGGTCCGAGACTTTCAGCAGAGAGGGCTTAGAGATGTCCTCAGCTCACCTTTGCACCTCATGGTTTGCGGGCTCCTAGCCTCAGTTTCATCATCGGAATGGGTGGCAGCCGCACCAAAAAAATATCGAGCCTCTGTGCAGCCTCATTGTGCGACAGCGATGGGTTCGGCTGCAATGAGCTAAAAACATTGGAACAGAGAGAACCTAGCTGAGAAAAATCACATTTAACTTATTCCACATGCACCAGTTTGCCCTAGGCTAAAACGCCGTCTCCCCAGTCGATCACATACGAATTATGGGCCAAATTTCTGAACGTAAGGTTATTATTGAGTACGTCATCCTATCGAAACTGTGAATCTGATAATGTGCCCATACTCGCTGCTCACAATTCTGCTACAAGGTCCCACGCCCTGAACCTTGCATCCTAAAGCCCTAATTTCTCTTAACTCTCAGAAGCAACTACACCTGGGTGATTTGCACGATTAAAGGAAATTCTACAATGACTTCTGGAGCAACTCAGCTGAGTGAGTGCAGATACTCAAGCGCAGTGAATGATCACCACAGAGATGGACACGGTCCAGACTTTGACCGAACGCTTCCTCAGAGGTAAATGACAGCTTCTCCGCAATCTCAAACGTCCCACTGCTTGTCAAGGGATCTTAAAATGCTACTATGTCAATGTTTGGTACGCAAAAGATGTCTCAATGTGTACAAATGATGTTGCATTCGGTGGCAATGCACAAATTCAATGCAGCTCCTTCTTTTCTCTTTGATTCGCACTGTGTCGCCAGTACCTCACTGCTCTTGACATTCTCACAATCTGTGCTCAACTCGCACATCTGCATGGCAAAAGTCTCACTTCGGGAAAAATAAGTCCATATCGTAGATACCCACATTCTACTGTTTAACAGATTTATAGATCAACGTTCTGTTCACTAATTTAAGCCTATCTTGGAATGTACAAAACCGTCTGAATATAGAATAACAATTTAGAAGTTCGCGGAGAGTAAGAAGTCTTGACTGTGCCATAGATCAAAGGTTTTCCCTTCAGACCTAAAACCCTAAACCCTGCCTTTCATCTGGTTGTCACGTTTCGACTGAAGGGCACGCACACGGCACCCAGTAGCCTGTAAATGGTCCTGCCTTGTCAACCTGCTGTTGGTAATTTGCATGACTAGGAATGAATACAGTCGTAGTAGCCGGCAGATGAATACTTGCAGGGCATTTCAAGTTTTCTTTCGCTCTAGGAGTTCGTAGCATTTTTAGTTTTCTGCTACAGTGAATTTATGACCTCTTCCGGCACGAGTTCTGGCCTGGTGTCTGTTTTATATAGTAACGATTAGTCGTGCTTCTAGCTTTAGAGCAGATTTGTTGCAATTCCTTGAATTTCGTCTGGTTTTGAAGTTTGGGTTGTGGTTTCTAGCAATTTACGAAGTGTTCGGCTGGGTCGAGGTTTTCATGTCCACCTTGATTTTCGGTGCAGATTGTCGCTGTGGCTGCAACAAGGATGTGCGAGTCGTGCTTCTTAGAATCTGTGGGTCACCTTGAGCAGATATTTCTCTGCACCGGAACCTGAGTCTAGTTTACAAGAAATTCAAATGTCGGGCCGAGTTTGCATCCAGCAGCGGCAGGGCCTTGTCTTCTGCCCTCGCGGCGGAATTACCCCTTCCAGAGCATTGCAAGCTCCTGGTGCACTCCTATTTCACCAGCCGTCCAAAAGGTTTAGTCGTAGGGGATTGACGGTTAGTAGACCGAAGTTTAGACTCCACAAGGCGCGAACATCAAAGTGGTTTGCTGAGTATACGGACTCTCGGGATAGTTCTCAGGATGTTCGAAGTGGTGGCGTAGACTTAGATTTGGTTCACGGCGATGGCGCAGCATCAAACAGCGCGTATCCAAAGTCGAGAGAAATAAGGGATGGGGAGCACACTTCTGTCAACAGAATCTTTGTAGATTCAAGTGCGAGTCGCTTGAACGGCCATGCGAATGGACACGTTCTAGAAGAGAGCTACTCTTTTGGGGAACATCACTTTAGCAAGATAATTGAAGGAGATGTGATTACAAAGAGTGATTCCAGAGGGAAAAGAAAGATGCAGAAGCAAAATCTGTCTGAAGAGGTTGACGAGACACTTAGTAGGGCATCGGATTCTCAAGTAAGCTTGACTGACGTTGAGTATTACGTCCCTATATGCGGTCATCGCGTAACTGGGGTGGTTGTATCTGGTAACTATGCGAAACTAGATATGGATATCGGGGCTGCTAAGCTCGGACAGATGCATGTGCAAGAGATACTTCCGCTCGACAAATTTCAAATTGATCAAACCAGTTGGATCCTTGCTGACGACGCTGGTGAAGGAGGCGGTGCCGGTTTACCCCCCAATGGTCACACCCATGTTTTGTATGATGAGGAGGTCTTCACATATGAAGCCCCTGAGTCCCCACTTCTTGTTGATATTGGAACCGTGCTTGATATGGAGGTGGTGGGGATCACAACGAGTGGCAGGGCTCTTTTGTCCGCCCGCAAAGCTGCTCAACGCATTGAATGGAACCGAATCATGCAGGTGGATTATCCGTTTGCCTTCTTTTCACACCACGAGCCCTTTGCAATGTCTTTCGTTTCGGAATGGATATTCTTTCTTTGCGTAAAACAATGTGTTGCTGTTACATTGGAGGTGAACAGATCAAAGAAGAGGATGAACCTTTCGAAATTACGATTACTGGATTCAATAAAGCGGGACTCTTGGCTAGAGTCGAGGTGCGCCACAGTTTATCCTCCTGTAATTTATAAATAATTTTTGGGAATTCAAAGACTTGATCGGAGTATTTGCGTAATGCGCCGTTTTTAATGAAGCACTTATATGAGTTTTAATGTTTTCCTCATCGCATCACTTTGCTATGATTCTATTCTCTTGATATTCGGAATGCAAGAGCAAATTAGTGGGCTCAAATGCTTGCTTCTGAATCCAGGGACTACGTGCATTTTTGCCTCATGCTGAACTAGTTAATCAGCCTGATATTTCAAAGGGCGAAAATTACGAACCATATGTAAGTGGGTGTAAGACTTCCCTAACCGTTAAGTCATGAACTTTCTGTCTTCTTTTCTTCTTCTTCTTTTAGCCTTTTACTTTTTAAAAGTGCTGTTTTACGACAAATGTTTTTCTATGTGATTGGGTGCAAGCATTTTAAGTTCCTATGTTGTGATCGTGGCAGGTGGGCAGTACCTTATGGGTGTCAATTGCTTTTGCAAAGGAAATCGAAGGAAATCTTGTTCTGAGTGAGAAAATCGCTTGGGTGAGTCGATTTCCGTCTCATTCGTATGTTTTTGTTTTTGAATTCTCTAACTTACTCTGACTACTGCCACCTGGATAACCCTTTAACATTAAGGTTCATCCGAGTATTTAGTCGGACTCAATTAGATTATTTGGGCATTAGTTTGCTCTTGTACTGCTCAGGAAGAGATAGATTAGAATGCCTGGAAGGTTGGGTATTGGCTATGTTTAGCAGTTGCCAAAGCTTCTTGTAAAGGGACTCAATTAGCGACATATGCTTATTATTATTATTATTATTAATCTCGTGAGGGTCGCTTATTTGTACATCTTGCTTCAAAAGCTGACTGAGATTGATGATTGATGCGTAATGTTTCACCTCCACCTGAGCTCTGGCTGATGCTAGCGGGAACCTTTGAGCGCCTACAAGTGTTAGGGTTTTTGGATGAGGACAGTTTGTTATTTGTCTCGCTCGTTGTGCAGTTCATCCAGCTGCTCCTTTTTTTACACGTGACGAATTGAACTTTGTAATTGCAGATCAAACGGAGACTCCAGGTTGGGTCCCTTCACGATGGCATTGTAGCCCAACTGTACCCATATGGTGCTCTCGTGAAGGTCAATGAAACGGGCACTATATGGTAAGCCATGTCCATCTTTCGATTTTTTTCGTGAGATGAGAGCTCATGGATGCTCTATTACTTCTCGGGGTAGAATGTGAGTCATGTGCTTATCATTCTAATGCACATCTTATTGGAGGCACATAATTATGGCTTGCACTGTTCTATTGAGTGCAGGGGAATGATACATATAAGTAACATCTCAAATGCACGGATTGATAAAATATCGAACGTGTTTGAAATTGGAGAGCAAATAAAAATGATTGTGGTGAATTGTCCTATTCCAGACAAATTTTCCTTCAGGCACGTCCATTCTTATATATCTCACTTTGTGTAGACAAGTTTCTTTCGGTGGGTAGTGTGGTTACACAACATTAGGAATTACATGATGGAATTTTTTACTTCGTGACTTATATTCCAGATTCTGTTGGGATGACAACTCTTTACTTTAAAACGACGTTCATGTACTTTAAATTTCAATATCTGCGATCCTTTGTAAATTTTAGCGAAACCTTTAATCATATATCTCAATTTGTTGGTATCAACAGTACTGCTCTCCTCGAAAGTGAGCCCGGGCTTATGCTTCGCGATAAGCAGGTAAAAGTCTCTCCCCTTATTTTAATCCACTTCCATGTAATCGTCTTCGCTCATATCGTGTTGGTGTTAGCGAAGCTCTCGCTGTTACAACGATAGACCAAATTCAAAACTCTTTGGTACCCATCAGATCCTGACAAACTAATTGCCCTGTTAATGAATTTCCAGAGAGTTTTCAGAGAAGCTGAGGAGAGGGCAATAACGCTTCAGAATGAGCATCCAAAATGGAAACAACCACCAGATGATATTGCAGAAAATTCAAGCACTGGGACCACTTCAAAACCCATTGCAAATTTGAAGTGGCTAGAATTTGTCAAAGAGGAAACGCCTTTGTCACAGTTATAAAATGATCACAAGTCCTTCACCAGAATCACCTCTTTGTGTGGCTGAATCGTCTTCAGTTCATGATATATAGCATGATGCACGCTCGATGCGTTATATACATTGTAAACGAAACTGCGACACCATGCAACCGGATTGTCACACGTTCTCACCTTCAATGAATCTAGCCATTTGTCAACATTCTTAGAGCTTGTCGCTACCAATACCTCCATTGTAATTAGTCAGGCTGGATAAAGTACGCAATTGGGACGTTTTGACGACATTGTTTTAGTTCCTTTCTATCATGCTTAACGTCCCATGAAATATGTGGTATAGAACGTTTCTCTTGTAGCTGAATAACAGTGGTGAAGCCATCCATCTACAGGGCTTGTTTGCCTCAGATCATATAATAGATTTTACTTACATAAAAATCTATTCTATATATATACATACATCTTTGCATACATTAATTTATTATTGAAAACAATGGAAAACATCATTTCCAAGTGAAGATCTTGATGTTTGATTATTCTTCATTTGTTGCTGTTGATTCTGAATTTACATAGAACTCATGCAACTTTCACAAATAGCCATGAAAAGTTGTAAAATCCCTTATCTTCTATTATGAAAGCTCATTCAATCCTTTATACTTCATCTCTCTTTGTAATACACTTGCTTCAATATTTCTTTGGGAAATATTCCAAAACTTCTAATTTCTAGCATTATGCCATTTTAGCTTAACTGAAGAAAATAAATATAAAATAAATTCAAACATGAACACTAGTGCAACAAAAACTGAACCAGATTCAGCCACAACAAAAGGACCTCTCTCATGACGAAAATTGACATTACAAGTAAAATTTTCATTTTTTTTTATTTTATTTCTAAACAAGTGATCCCCACACAAAAACAGGCTGAGTTCGGCAGATGCACAATCCCACAAGCATACCGACACCGCCCTTTACATGCATGCTTTTCTTCACACTTGCTCTCTCCATTGTTTCACACACCAGCTCCCCAGTTCCACAGCACTCAACATCCTCATCTCACTCACTCTCTATCCAAACCTCGCATTCCACATCGACTGCTGCAGGAAAACAAATTGAGTCATGACTTCGATGAATCTCTTCTAAAACATTCATGCCCCTTCCAACCAGTGCACATCACCACCGGGACTACCAAATGCAGTGCACTCTATGCTCATGCAAACACACACATTCAGTTCGACCTACGACGTATGTTGTGATCCACGGAAGCGCGCGATATTCACAAGACTCGTACACCCTTGGACAGCATCTGCTGCGCGCTCCACGGGCTGACAATTTGCAGTCGTTACCTTCCGCCAACATGAACCCACTTTAAACACGGATTTGCGTCGCAGCTCTCACAACTCACAGCGAGCAACTGCATGCAAACTCGTGGAAGGGGTCACAGACTTGCGGTACAAGAGCCTGATGCAACTTTTAAGCGGGGTGGGAAAAAGGCTGTAGAGGAGACCATGATGCATGCAGGTAGTATTTTGCAGTGCTTGAATCTCATCTAGCGGCGAAACAGCAGGCGCGACACCGAGCCAAGGTGGAGATGAATGCATCAGCATTAGCAGACGACAGTGAGAGGTCGGAGAAAGGGAGCCGTCAAGCCAAATAAACCGACGGCGAGACTGAATTGAGTTCGGAACGACTCGCAATCTCAAATACAAGCAGAAGTGTAAGCACAACAGTCCGAACCACGACCAGATTTCCTGGTCAATTTACAAATTTGACCGATCAGCCAAATTCACATCACGACGTGAAGCGATGCTTGTGAACATGCGGAGGTCAGAAAACACCTCTTGACCCCTCCGATCAGGTTTGGTGACTTGCACTCGGGTAAGTAAAAGCACCACACTACAACCTGACAAGACAACCCAAAACACAGTGCAGCATGTAATTACTAGGAACACGGAAAGAAAAGGACCGTCAGAGAAATCAAGCTCGCAGCACGGAAAGGCTCGCCGATGGGTCGATGGAAACCATGCGCCGAGGGAACCAAAGCGCTCGGTGGGTTGGTTCGGATGCTGGAACAGTGAATCCTGTGCGAGGAATCCATCCAAGCAACCGCATTCAGCAGCTAACACACGAAATGTGTTACCAAAACCCAAGTCATGAGGATCTAACAAGATACAAGTGAATGTGGTGGCTTACATTGAGGATCTGGGATTGGGGGGAAGTGCAGCGGCGGAGCGATCGTCACAGGGTCTCGAAGGCCTGCATCAATATCCCACTCTCGGGACCAGGTGCCGGACGAAGCACGCACCGTGTTCCTCATCGCGATGGAGTGCAGCTGTTGACTAAACGAAACAAAGACAGAAAGGATCGAGGTCAGGAGGCAGAAGCCAGAAAGAGAAGATGAAGTTCGAGAAGGAGACGGAGATGCTTGGATTGCTTTGATAGCCGCACTCCATAGCGATGAGGAATATGTTGTGTGCTTCGTCCGGCGCCTTGTCCTTAGAGTGGGACATTGATGCAGGCCTGCGAGACCCAGTGACGATCGCTCCGCTGCTGGACATCCTCCGAATCCCAGATTCTCAATGTAAGCCAGCACATTGAATCGTATCTTGTTAGATCCTCATGATTTGAATTTTGGTACCACATTTCGTGTGTTAGCTGCTGATTGTGGTTGCTTTGATTGATTCCTCGTACAGGATTCAGTGTTCCCGCATCCGAACCAACTCAGGAGTGCGACTCGTTGATGCGCCCGTGTGTGTGCCCAGCGCATGGTTTGGGTGGAGAGTGAGTGAGATGAGGATGTTGAGTGTTGTGGGACTGGGGAGCTGGAGTTTGGAATAATGGAGAGAACAAGCGTGAAGAAAAGCATGCATGTGAAGGGCGGTGTCGGTGTGCTTGTGGGACTGTGCATCTGCCGAACTCAGCCTGTTTTGGTGTGGGGACTACTTGTTCTGAAAAAGAAAAAAATAAGGGGGGGCTTTGTAATCTCTGTTTCCGTGATGAGAGGAGTCCTTTCGTTGTGGATGAATTTGGTTCAGTTTTAGTTCACTAGTTTCCATGTTGCAGCTGCCATGAGCAGAAACCATGGTTTTTGAAAGTCCAAAATAGGAAAAGGCTAGAGATTAGAAGTTTTGGGATTTTTAACAGAGAAACATTGAAGCAAGAATTATAAAAAGGGAAATGAAGTGGCAAAGGATGCAATGAGTTATTGACAAAAGATTAGGTGATTGACAACTTTTTGCGGCCATCTTTACAAGTTGCATGTGTTTTGTATAAATTGGCAATCATGCATTGAATGCAATATAATGAAACATCAAGATTCTTGAATTATCATATCTCAATTGATATAATTGGCATGAAAAATTTGAGCAAAAGAATATAAAAGATAAATTTTATTAATAACATCAAACAGAATTTGTTATATTAATACAAAAATTGGTCTAGTTTTGATGTGTGCTTTGTACATAAAACTAATGTCAGAGTAAAGATTTGTTACAATTTAGATGTAGTTACAAACATTGAGAATTATTATAGATGATTGAAGATGCAAGAATTCTAATATATCTATAAAAATAAAATTTTGGAATATAACTAATGTTTTGTATTATTTTAAAGTATCTTAGTTGAAGTTATGAAACAAAATTTATTTGTAGACTTATAAAGCTTTTATTTTTATTTTTCATTTTTATTTTTATTTTTTCAAGTAAAAAAACCATTGAAAACTTATGTTTTTGATTAGATAATAAGTAAAAAAATTATAATATTACTTAAAGTCTTATGTAGGTTTCATTAGGATTTTATTAGAATTCAATTAGGATTTACATAAGAATTGCTTAAGGTTTCATAAGGACTTTAATAGGATTTGATTAAAATTTATTTAAGATTTACTTAAGATTTCTATTTTTAATATTTTTAGTATTTTTTAGTTATTTTTTTAGATTTATTTTTTAAATATTTCATTAAGATTTATTTAAGATTTTTATATGTTTCTTTTATAGTTTCTTTAGGGCTTTTTTTGGATTTGATTAATATTTTACTTAAGATTATTAAGGTTTAATGGAATTTATTTAGAATTCTATTAAAGTTATTAGGACCTTATTGTTGGAATTTCCAATTTATCTTCTAGAACTAAATATTTGTTGTTATTAAAGACATATATATTTATTCTAATGTTTTCCTATATAATTAAATAGAAGTAGGTAAGAGTAGATTTATTTCATAATATTTTCTAGAAAAGCTTCTTAGAAGCTTTATAGACACTGCATTAATTTTACATGTGTTTATATTTGATTTGTAGGTTAGAAATTCGATTAACAAGTTAACCATGTGTTGGTGGCTTGCAGAACAAACTAACTATATGGTGCATATATAGAAAACTTGTCTTGCAAATTAAGATATGTATCTTACAAAGTCAATACATTTTGGAGGTCTTATAAGACATTCCCACATTATTGTATTACGTGTGTTCTTGCTTGAGAATACACTAGGCACCTAACTGTGGAAAGTAAGTAGAAATGCAAGAAAAATTCTATTAAGTATAATAAAATCTTAAATAATTTTAAGTAGATCTTAATAATCTTGATCAAACTTTGACCAATTTAAAATAAATTTAAAAAAGTTATAAAAGAAATATAAAGAATTCCTAACCTAATCTCAATAATAAAAAATAACAAGAATTTTTAAAGAAATATGAAAAATAAATCTTTAAATAAATAACAATAATCTTAAATAAATATTAGAAATAGTACTTAAAGAAATATTAAATAATATTTTTAAATACTAAAAATAGAAATCTTAATTGAATCTTAATCAATTCTAGATCAAGTCCTAATTAAAACTTTAATTTAATCTTAATCAAATCCTATATCAAATCCTAATGAAATCCTAATAAAATCCTAAATCTTAATTAAACCCTAGTTAAGTTCTAAACCAAACCTTAAGGAAATCCTAATCTTAACCAAACTCTAGATCAAATCTTAATTCTAACTAAATCCTAGACCAAATCCTAAGCCCTAACCAAATCGTAAACAAACTCTAAACCAAATCCTATAACAAAATAGAATCTCAACAACTAATGATCAAACTATTGATATCAATTGAAAATTTGCCAACTTCTTAATATCTTAGTTGAAAATAAGCATAAGAAAGATGAAATCAGTTGCACTTACTAATTGAGAAAAATGCAAGATAATTCAATCAAGTCTTGGATAGCCTTCTACTCCAACCATAATGCCAAACTCCAAGTACCAATATTTCCTTCTTGAACTATTGAATTATTCTCAAATTTCACTTAAACTTTAAAAATTGAATATATTATCTATAAAAAAAAAAAAAAAAAAAAAAAAAAAAAAATCACTTCAATCCAATCGATAGATTGCTAAAGATTTCAGAAATACTCTTTGATCCTCAAACTCCAATTTTTGAGACTTTAATCCACTAAAATCCTCACATACTTCAATCTAA